AAAAGAGGAGGCGAAGCACTACAAGGACGGGTACAATGAAATGACAGAGAGCCGAGATGAGATGTATGAATGGTATGCCGAAACCCACAATGAGTACGCCGAGGAAAGGGAGAAATCAATTGAGCTATCCGAGGCGAACAAATCATTGAGGGACAAGATTTCAGAAACAGAGGCATCCTCTTCATCTCATCTTGCACCGGCAACCTCTACTGTCATGAAAGTATCGAGGAAGGAAGAATCAAAGATAAACGTTCCGTCATGGCCCAGGATCAATGATATTGGATTATGGAAGGCAAATCTCATTCAATCAATCATCATTGCGGCCAATGATTCAGATCAAGAGCCCTGGATCGACTGGATCAAAGAAGCCATGGACGATCCTGATCCGGACAAGTTTGTCGACTCAGGAGACCAAAGATTCCATTCAATCGATGCCAAACTCGGCCTAGCTCTTACCAAGGTCGTCATGGATGCGAAAGATGATGGTTCAGGTGTAGCTATGAAGTTGAGGACGAGGATCAATGCAAAAGGGAGAACATCAAGCCTCATAAAGGGAAGAGAGGTCCTAGCCCTGATCCTTATGAATTTCAAGACAACATCAAATGTGGAAGTCTTATATACTTCAATGCACCTCTACCAACTAGAATATCAAGCAGACAAGAACTTATCGTTGTTCTTCCACACTTGGGATGAGATTCTGGCAGGAATGAAGCCCGTTGACGTCCCGAGCGACGAAACTCTTCGGGATCTCCTATGGAGAAAGATCAGGAACTCAAACCTCATGGCATACGACATCAGCGCCTACAATAGCATGAACGACGATGATGCCAAGAAGACATACAAACATCTACGTGATATGATCAGAAGGCACATCGAACGGCAAACTGAAGACAGGATGATCCTGGAAAAGGAGAAGGCAGTGAAGAATGTGGCCAATATCTTTCAGAACCTCAAACCAGGCGGACCTGCTCCAAAACTGAAAGCTGCACCAGCTGATCCGAAGAAGAAACCAAAAGGGCAACAAGAACAGGTTGTCTCAGAAGACGCTGCTGCAGTGAAGCCGAAACCCAATCCCAAGAAGCATCCTGAAGACAAGAACAAAAAGGGAAAGGGGAAAGGTAAAGGTGATGGAAAGGATCGCAGCCGAAGTCCGAGTACAGACAAAAAGAAGATACCGTGCAAATTCTTCGTGAAAGGTAACTGCACTATGGGGAAAGATTGCCCATTCAGTCACAAGAAACCCAGATCACCATCCAGAGGACCTTCTGTCGGAAAGAATGACAAGCCAGTATGTTGGATGTGGATTCGCGGAACTTGTGATAAAGGGAAGGATTGCAAGTTCTACCATGACCCAAAAGCCTCTCCTAAGAAAGGGATATCTGCACCAGCTGACTCAGGAGACGATAGGCCAAAGCCCAAGGCAAAACCCAAACCGAAACCTAAGGCGAAGCCTGGAGCCCCAGCCATTGGCGGTGAACTCTTCATGGACGAATCCGAAGATGAAGGGATTGCTGCATCCGCCAAGGCGAGGGAAGGAGGTGCAAAGGTATCCTTTGATGAAGAGACTTGTGAGATCATGTTGAACGAAGCGATCTACTCAGTCAGGGACAAATGGAAGGTAGTAGAAAAGAAACCTCTACGTCCGGACATCAAACGATATGATGAGAAAGAGCTCACCTGCTACACGAGGAAAGAACAAATCAGATTTGAAGAAAAGGTCGCAGAGGCGAGAGGCATACTGATGGTCCCCTACACTGAGATCAAGAGGGTCCGAATACCAGTTGGACCAAAGGGTGACCTATCGGTCACTATGTCTTTTGACGAAGATGACGGCCTAGTTTTTCATCATAAAGTCATTCCTCATGTATGCGAGGGAAAGAAAGATCATGCAGACACAAAGACATTGTCTATTCCAGCCAAAGGGTCAAGAACGAAGTTCATCATGGACACAGGATGTGGATATGATTTGATATCGAAAGGCAGAGCCAAGAAATTAGGTCTGGAAGTGAGAGAAAGCGACCAATCAATGTCATTCTATACCGCAAATGGAGTGACATCCACAAAAGGAGTCGCTGACATTCATTTCGACGAATTTGACTCTACCTACTCCCCATTCGTTCTAGATGAGTCTCCTTCAGTACTGTCTGTTGGAAAGAAATGCATGGAGGAAGGATACACATTCATATGGCCAGCCTGCGGCAACCCGTACATGATTTCCCCGAACTACAAGAAAATCATGTTAGAAGTAGAGGGAAACATCCCATATATTGTCAAGGGCAGTGACTTCTGTACTCCCAATGACGATACAAGGGCGGAGATGATCGCAAGGTTCACCCTAGGAGAAGATGAAGCCGATTACCAATCGACTTTCATCAACTGTGATGTGGATCCTCAAGGAATCATGTGTGATAATGACGACCTTCCTGTGATTGAACCTCCAAAAGTCAAAAGGCGAAAGAGGAATAAGAAGTTCAAGGCATCTCCTGGAGAAGAAGATGAGGTAGGATCGGATGTCGCCGGAGACAGTGAACCAGAAGCCGACGATGATGATGCAGATGACATCGAGGTGGATGTTGTTGACGGTGCAAGTAGAATGGTGAGAAGAGGAACTCTGAAAGCAGATGCCAGGAAAATCGAGCATCTACTCACACATCGTTACAAGAACCCCTACTGTGAGTCATGCATCAGAGCAAAGATGAAACACTTCAAGACGCATCGAGGAGCGTTCAAGAGAAAGCTCAAAGCTTTTGGAGATCTGGTTACCTTTGATTTTGTCGATACGAGGAACATCCTTGATCAAGGGATCAGTACTGATCGAGAGATCTTCGTCATTCGTGACAGGTACACAGGCGTCATATGGGCCTATCCGTCGAAAGAGAGGTTTACCAAGGACGTGGTCAATGCAATAAACCACTTCAAAGGATAGAAGATCAAGATTGCTTATGCCGACAAAGCCCCAGAGTTTGAGACGGCTATGAAGCAGTTGAAGATCCCATTCGATCACTCTCTACCGAATCATCCTCAGAACAATTCTCTGGCGGAGAGGAACAATCAGTTCATTATGATGACAACCGCAACTTGTCTCTTGGAAGCGGGGTTACCACCATGTTTCTGGAGCTATGCAGTAGAATGCGTCAGCCATCTTTTGAACATTGAGGAAGGAGAGGATGGAGTGAGCCCTTGGTACAAGCTACATGGAAAAGAGTTCCATGGAGAGAAGATTCCCTTTGGTGCAAAGGTCTTCTTCATGCCGAGCAGTCAAGGAAGGATTGAGCAGAAGCACAAGTTTGATCCCAAGGGAATCCCAGGTATCTTCGCCGGATATGAGATCAAGCCCGGGATGAACTGGTCGAGACAATACAGAGTGTGGAGTCTTGAAACTTTTGCACATCAAAGCCTTGCGTTTGATGCCAATCGCCCTATCAGAAAGCTACTCACACCACAGCTCACAGAGACCCTGGTATTCCTCGCTCCCATCGAATTCCCGTTGAAGGAAGGATACGAGAAGATCAACAACACGTTGGAAGGCATGAAGATCCGTGACAGGAGAGATGGAGAGCCAGAGGTCGGAGATCCTAGTCAAATGATTGACTATGGAGATTACGAACCAACTGAGCCCGGTATGGATTTTGAGGAGCTTGCGGAAAGGGAGATTAGGGATGAGGACGACGAAGACGCCATTGGAGATCATGAAGCAGATGATGAAGAACGAGATGATCCCGGTGATGATGATGATCCAAAACCTGATGGCGGTCACTCCAAAATATTGCCCAAACCTGCCAAGGCGAAGGTACCACCTTCGACCGGCAGGGAAGATCATCCGCCAGTTGGAGATCCTTCAATGGACCACATGTCCATGGGAAAAGCAAGTGATGGTATCATCTACTTGAATGATGATGGTGAAACCGTGAAATTGGACAGGAAAGGGAATCCATATAAGGTTGGATCAGATGGAAGAAGGTTCTTCAGGTCATCACCGAGACCAAGATCAAAATATACTCCAGAAGAATGGAAAGCGTTATCTCTATCTGATAGAGCCATCGCTGAGAAGAAAGAAGCTCTCGAGAAAGAAAAGATGAAAGAGAGAGAGAGTAAAGGTGCGGGATCCAGCAAGGACAAAAGGAAGAAGAAAAAGAAGGAGGACAAGGATGATGATC